AAATACGCAGCTGATTTTTTTTTTTCAGTTTTTAATTAATAAAAATTCATACATTTCTGACATTCATTAGTTTGTTTTTATATAAATGTCAGAAATTAGTTATTTCATTTAGGTTTTTTATTTTTTATGCATTTTGTAATTAAATCATACCTAAAATTGAGAGCTACTTAAAAAATATTTATGAAAAAATTGCGAAATTTTGTTGTTCGTATTTGAATGCTAGTCTTGCTTAAACGCATTCAGAGACAATTATTATGTATTTATAACGTTTTTAGTTATTTTTATATACTTGAATATGTAGACTATGCCGTTAGTAGCTATAAAAAATCTTTATACAAAAATAAAAATAATAAAAATAACAGCGTAAAATATTGAATTATACATATTACTGTTTATATATGTATGTATGTTGTATGTAGCTTATGTTTTACATAGAAAATAAATAAAGGCGGCTTGAAGCGCACAGGGTACATATTATATTTTTATACTGCTCTAATTTAATACGGTTCATACTAAAAGCACAATGCTCAGCCACTCGAAATTTCTTATATTCATGGTATATGAAATTAGTAAATATTGGTTTATTTGGTTTTTTTTTTAATTTGTTTTTATTTGAAACATTTTTATCATCGAACGTTTTACAACATTTTGTATTTTTCATTTGAGTTTGAAAACAAAAATTACAACAATCTTTTGGAATTTATGTATGCGCTTTTGTAATTTAGGGAATTTTCCACTTGCAGTGTTACTTGTTTTGCATACGGTGTATTCATTGTTAGTGTGCGTGTGTGTGTAAGAGAGGGGGGGTGGGGTCGTATGTGTTCTGAACTTCTTTTTACGAATTTCGTCAATTTCACGCCACTGTACTTCATTCAACAATTACACGTAACATAGCCAATTTTGTATTATGAATTATAACGGTATATATAGTACATTTATATATAAGTAGTATATATGTTTATTTGTGTATATATATGTGTGTGTATGAGATTTGATTGATTTCGTTTTTGTTTAAAATTAAAAAATAATAATTCCGATCACAGAATTCAGACAAATAGTTTCAACGTGTGTTTACTCGACATCGACGAGCAAGTTAAAAACATAAAATTTTCTTAAACAAAAAATATTTTATATAAACATAAACAAAAAAAAATACTTAAATTTACTGCATGAAATTTGTGTTGCATCACTCAAATGCAATACGCGATTTTATACATACATATGGAGTAAGCGAATGTGTGTGTGTGTGTGAAATGATGAATTTTTAGCATTTAGCATACCTTAACGGTGAAAAAAACGAGTACCAAAACAAATACGAAAATGCACTAAGAAGGAAGTATACAAATAGCTGTTGCAAATGCTTGCGGTTACAGTGTGTGGCAAAGGAATGGCTCAATTTGTATGTAAGTATTTCGGACCAGCACCTAAAGACCTGAAGCGGGTCCGATAACAGGCGTCAATGACAAGTAGTTTAAGGCAAGGCCGAACAGCGAGTACGACAGGCGACAACGAGCGTGATATGATGATAAATAAATTATGTGCGTGTGAGTATGCATATTTTTAATGCGGCGATATTTGCTTAAGCATTTACATATAGGTATATATATATATATATATTTTTTTTTATATATATATACGAAAATAGGAATGGTGTGTAGCGTTGCGCGCGGAAATCACTTGCAAATGCGCCTATATTTGACGCTTTTGCTTACGTATACGTCATAACGTAACGTAAAGCTGTTATTTTGCGGTGCTTTCTGCTTGCAACCGCCACCGTACGGCTCATGCTTACACTTGCCTTGCATTTTTTGTTAAGAGATTCAAGTATACTAACTGCTATGATGCAAAAATTATAAGTTTTAAATATTTCATTTACAGTTTTGTTTTTTTATTTAATGTATATCTAATCTAATTGTACTACAAAAATATTATGTATGTATGTATAAGTGTAAGCGTCAGTTTTTTTCATTTTTCACTTGCAACAAAAAAGTAATTTTTTAATAATAATAAGTTTCCAAAAACAAAAAAGAGGCGGGAAGCAATTAAAGTAAAATTAAGGGGTGTGGCCAAAGACCAGTATTGGCGCATTAAATTTATTTGTCAAATTGTAAAATAAATGTTAGTAAAAGAAAAAAAAAAAAACAATAAATGTTAGGGAGACGATTTTTGAAATACGCCTTTTGAGACCAAATAATTGTGGGTTGTATGTTTTGTTGTTTTTCTTTGTGTTTTTGTTTACCGAAAACTTTTCAAAAAAGTTACTCGTTAAATATCTTACATGCTAATATGTACACACGCAGACACACATACACACGCTAATATAGTAGTTTGTTTTGAATTTTAGTTTTTGTTATTTTGCTTTTTCATTTCTTTCATTTTTGTTTGTTGTGTTTTGTTGCTCTTGCATTTCTAATGTCTTTCGTTTATCC